ATTTTTGCCTTTGCTTTTTGCCACTGAATATAAAATTTGTCCTAAATTTACTAAATCTTCTACACCCTGAGGAATAACAACAGACTAATAAAAGTAATGTCAGGGTTAGCCTTCTGGACCATTCTATTGTCCAGAAAGCACAAATTACATATAGCTAATATTCTTGGAAGCACAAAGTTTCATCAGCAGACTAAACTACTGCCCTGTATTGTTCTTAGCAAAGAGTTTGGTTTTACAGTGTTAACATGGCCTGGTGAGAGTAGAGAAGTCAAAGTTGGGAGCCTGAGGTTTCCTCTCCCACCTAAGATCCACAACTGATACACTGGTTTTCTGTCTTCACCATGAACATGGCATATTGCTGCCCTTTAGGAATATATTATTCAACAGTTCTCTGTAAAAGCACTTTGGAATCTTTAGCTATATATTTCTATGAAATTATAGTTGCTATCTTGAAATATGGAATTCCTATCCCTCCCTTCTCCAGATACAAACAGATAAAGTGATACATTTAAAAATTTCATCTATGCATTTACTTCTTTTCCTCCAGTATCTGAAAGAAAGCAAGTACTGTTTTCACCCTTTCAACTATATTACATTATGCCTGAATTTGAGAGGGAAGGAAGGTCCTAAAGTAAGGCAAAGGATTCATTTAGGACAACGTTCTGGCCTTTATTTTAGGGCAGAGTGCCACTGTTTCCCGTTGGACACAGGTTTCAGACTAATCTGTGCACACACCATCCTCTAAATGGGATGCCTCCAACCCCCAAAACATTAGTTGCCAGAAAGAAAGAACTAAATATTGGTAGGGTCCTTAAAATGATAACTAATGGAATAATCAAAGCATCCTGCCTGCTTATATCAGTCTCTCACTGAAGGATAAAATACCCTGTGGGGCCATGCCTAGCGATGGGAATAAATAAAACAATGGGCCACAATCAACTGTTTGATAAAACTTCTATCCTGTTTTCTTAAACATTAAATATAATCTTGCTCCCAAAAAAGTAAGAAAGGCACTCAAATTAACACAGTCCTATAGTTATTTTTTAAAAGACACTATGTGACAATAAGGAATTCTTGGGGTTGATTTTTCTTCTTCATTAACTTCCCAGTGCCTCTACACATCTCTCCATTAACTGGGAGCTTATTACAGAGCATACCTAGGTGTGGGGAGGCAGCAACACATAAAGTGCTAGGGTTTGCACAGTTCTATTTGAGAAATTTATTCAAGACAAAAGGTTCAGTTGTTATCAGGTTCAAATTTTCTAGCACACTTTAAATATCTTTAAGTTTTAAAATATAATTTTCCAATAGCAAAATAATAGCTTAAAACAGCTTTCTAGAAAAAAAAAATCATGTTACTTCCCTTTACAACTAAATCTTTAGCATCTTCTATAACTCAGGGGAACTAGGGTAGGGATTATTAGATTGTTATACAGTAGGTGGTATCTGCCATCTTGTGCTATATAACAGAAAATTATTAAACTGATAATTTGTTTGCTTCAATATTAAAAATTCTTTTTACACGTACATACATGTGTGTGTGGCCTAACAAGAATAAATTGGCATGACCTGAACATACCTAAGTGGCATATGATCTACTATGTATTTGCTTTCCTGCAAACTACTGCATAAAAATCCAAAAACTTTTGTTTCCATATCTTGTATCTCATAAGCCCTTATTTGAAAACTTAAGTACTTTTAGAGATAACCTGTATGTATTTAACCCTACTAATAATTAAGCCTTTAAGTGAGAACTGTACCATAGGAATAAGAAATATGACTGAAAGTCTGGGCCCAGAGTTTCTTAAGATGTAATAAAATGCTAAAACCTAGAGAAGACAAAGGGGACATTAATATGTATCAAATCCCTAAGCTTACAAAGTGACTCACACAGATTTAAGAAATACCTGAAAGAGTCACAGTTCAAGTTGTGGGGAAACAAGAAGAAGCATAAAATGATGATACGTGCACAGGTACAGATCAGTAAGTCACTGAAATCAAAGAATTTCTTCAGATGACCAAAAGCAGTTCTGCCTCTGTGTGCAGGATCTGTCCTCTAATACCGCAAATGAACAGAAAGTGGTGTTCTTAATGCAAGTGGGTTCTTCAGCTCTACAATTTTTAGTATATGTTATAGTACAGTTAATTGACAATTACAGAGCTGCATTTCTTGGCTGGGATTTAACAAGTTTAAACAAGGTAATGAAATGAAGAAAAAAAAGTCTAAATCAACTTATTCTATAGGCGATAGCGCTTCCCACGTATTACGAAACTAGAAAGCATCATTTATTCACAATCCATTGCACTAATCCATCAATTTCTCAATCATCACTCATTCTTATCACTCCCAAACAATCTTTCTCTTCTTCTGTTAGTCATTCATTAATTTAATAAATATTTAATGAGTCTTCACAATGTGCAGGGCACAAGTAGAATCTGAAAAACACCATATTGCCAAAACAGGTACACTAAAGTACACTAAGGTACACTAAAAGTGGGGTGAAGGTGGTGGTGGAGACAGTTACAGAGCTTAATGCTTTTTGCTTGTCAGTAGTATTCTTAATCCACAGTATGGTACGATGACCCACTGTTCTTTCAGTGAAAGTTTAATGAAATACATGTCAATAAGCCATCTTTTCCTTTTAACAATTAGTTATAGAAAAATAAGTGAAGACTAACAAGTCCCAGAAAATAGACACATCCTTTCTACTACATGAGCTCAGTCAAAGACATTATCATGCTACAGCTAGCGGGTTTAAATATTAACCACTTAGGGAAAAAAACAACCATATAGGGCAATATTAGGATTTTCTGTGAATGAACAATTAAAAAATGCAAACTCTAGAAATAAAGCAGCACACAAAAGTTACATACTAACAGTATCCTTTGGGTATTTGTATTTTTGCTCTCTACTTAAAACTTTTAGGAAGAAACCAAGACATATTAAAGGACTGCACGGCTTCAAAAGAGTAGGTTAAGAGCCTTAGAAGATATGAAAATAGTTAACACCAAAGATGGGCAAGATCATCAGTGGAAGGTACACAAAGGCATGGAGCACTATAAAAATTTAGCTAGTGTTTCATAGGGTATTGTCACTCATTTCCTGATATTTTTTCTCATCAAAGCATAATAAGCCCTATTACTCAAAATGTGAAAAATGATTTTTAGGAAAAAAGGTAATAATGAGTTTGGCCAGAATCTGGCGACATATTTTAGTGGAATGGGTTGAACCACCCATGTCTTTTCTGTGTAGTTTGCCCCCAAACCCTCACAGGAGCTAAAAATCATAAACTTATGATTTTATCCATAGAGGTCTAGGTGGACCTTGAGGTATTTGATTCAAAATATGTTTTGTACACAAAGGACCATGGAATTATGTTCTTAATGGCATTTTTTCATCTAAATAATATAAAAGCTACAAAAAGGTAATTTTTGACTTGAGAGAAGAACAAATTCTGTCTACTGGGGCCAGGCTAGACAACATTTCTGGCATTCTTAAGTCTCACTCACTTAAACAGTCTGCCACTCAACAAAACCAGGATGCCCAAGAAAAGGACATATTTCTGCTTCTTTAAGGCGATGTACCTAACTCAAGTCCAGGCTTTCTATAACAGTGAGACAGAGAGGTTTACTTTCCCTACATCTTTATCCCCACTTTGCAAATCACCTAGCCAGTAAAAAGCACAACAGGCAAAGCATGGTTGTCACACTTATTTCTGCCACTATTACTCACATTCTGCACAGAGATAGGACAACTGACAGCTTCCTTCATTAGGGAAACTTTTAGAAGGGCCACTCTTGTTGATATTTCTGGTATATGAATGTATTTTAGATGAGGTATGAAATTCATTGCAAATAGGGGGTAGAAATCTTGAAGACATACCCCTGAAGTAAGAAAGGAAAGATATACAAAAATGACACATGAAAGTGACAAAAAATATGTAATGGATTGGCAAAACAGAAAGTATATGAAAAGAAGAAACACAGACCATTTACAAAAGGGCAAATATAAGAAAGCAGACATTACATGGCCCATTCCCCACCCTCACCCCACCTACCTGAAAAACTCAGCCCTTGTTATTGAAAACATAAGATACAGCTATAATGTGGATACTTTGGTACCTCATCCCTGATTAAGTTCAGTATAAAAGTGTTTTGTTTTGCACATACTATTCCTTCCCCTGGCATTTGCCAGTAAACTTTAATAGTCACTTCATGATAATTTTGTAGTCTCCATAGTGTATCCTCAATAATTTAGATTTTTAAAAAGGAAGATTTTTATGGATATATTTCTTTATATATTTCTCCCATTTGTTATAAGTAAATTTAAAATTAAAAAGTAGTAATAGCTAAAAACAGCATTCCAGGTTTTCAGAAAGAAAAAAAAAATCAACTGTATAAGGACTGACGTGTTTTGGCATATACCAAATTTGAGGTAAAAATAATCTATCAAAACTAGCAATAAAAATAATTTTCCTTTACTGCAATTACATAAACTCTTAAATTAGTTTTTTTTTTTTTTAAATAACCATTTAAAAAATGGATTACACTGGAAGCATTTTTTTTCATATAAATTCCAATACTTCTGACTTTGGTAATTGGGTAGAACAGGCTAGAGAAAGAGAACTAGTTTATATTTTTACACATTCACCCATCTAGCCATTTGATTCTTAAAACAATTACATCAAGTTATTCAGCATTCATACCAACATTTCAGCATTCATACCAACATTCTTAAGTTGAACTGCAACATAAATGTTTATTTTCAACTTGTTTTAGAGACAGGGTCTCAACTCTGTTGCCCAGGCTGAGTACAGTGGTGCAATCATGGCTCACTATAGCCACAAACACCTGGGGCTCAAGCAATCCTTCTGCCTCAGCTTCCTGCGTAGTTAGGAACACAGGTGCATAGCACTATGCCTAGCTATTTTTTTTTTTTTAAACTTTTTGTAGAGATGGGGTCTTGCTATGTTGCCCAGGTTGGTCTCAAAGTCCTGGGCTCAGGCGATCCTCCTGCCTAGGCCTTAAATTTTTAATTTTTAAAATAATTTGTCTCAAAAAAAAAAAAAAAAATTTGCCTATGCAGCAATTGGACTGAGGTGGGTAGAGGTGTGTATGTGAACCAATCAGGAAAACCAAATGAGAAGCCCCACTTACAGAAATACAAAGGGTGAGAAGTTCAACAGAAAATTTAAGACACGTTGTTTAGCACGAAGGAACTATACAACTATTTTATCCCCACAGGAATGCCAGTTATTAACAAAATAAATAAAATGAAAGATTTACTATGGACTTTCAACCTAAAGATGAAGAACATATGGTTAGCCAATAATAGTAAACAGTTCATGCAACTATGTAAATAATAAAAGAAAGCAATATTGCACTAAAAGGGGAACCTTGTAGGACTAATTCACCTCTTTCATTGACTCAAAGTAACCAGCCATTTCCTGTATGCACTGGCAAACCTGGCTTGCTCCACGTTCCGACAGGTGGACAATACTTGATCAATGAACCTGTGCTCCATTTCTAGGCCTAGAGAGTCTGGAGCTGGTGTCCGCTTCAGGCGTTTGGTTTCCTGGGAATAGCCTTGCTTGCTAGAGTCATTCAGTCCATCCACTTCCATTGCCTGAGACAGTTGGGAGCCTGCTGGGATAAGGTGCAAGTCACTCAAAGTCCCCCCAGGGCTGTCTGCAGGTGACAACTGGGTCATGCTGTGAGGAAACCTACCATTTAAGTGATGCTGAAGGTAGAAAATATGCCGCCTGCGATAGAGAGGGGAAGGAAGAGAATAAAGAAAATCACATTTTTTTCACATTCCGGAAAAAAAGTTTGCAATTTCAAAACATACAGTATTCAGTTCACTGTCCACTTCATAACCAAGTTATACAGGGGAAGGAGGAAAAACAGTGGCAATGTTGTTCCAGGATATTTGGACAAAGAAAGTCTTATAACCCCAGCTTACAGGTTTGTTTGTGAGAAAGAATACGGTCCTAAGGTTTTTCATAAGCATTTACTGAGATGACAATGACTTGGAGATGGTACTCTATGGTAACTATAACATAAAACTAGAAATATGTGATAGTCTTATTTCTGCTACAAATTATAAATATAAAACAAAACCAAAAACGAACCTCATTGATATCCTGGAAGAAAAGTGATTCAGAAATAAGGGGATTGAACAGTTCCTTTAGAGGCTGAATCTGTGGCCTCTATCAAATACTTTAATAAAAATAACGTATCTGTTGTAGGGCGTCTTATTCCCTAAAAGTCAACTGAACTTTACCCTAAATCCATCACCAACTACAGTTTCAAACATCCACATGCACTGGGGATGTGCTGAGCTCTGAGCAAAACATGTTAAAAGATACAGTTCCTGTTCTCCCTTTGAGAAGAGCAATTCTCCTGCCCTTAGAACCACCTAGAATTGTTTGTTAAAAATGAAGATTCCCGTGCCTAATCTCCAAAAATTTCAATTCAGTGGGGGCACATCTATGTACAATGAACTGTATAAGCTCTAGGTTGTTATATCTCATCATTCACATTGGCAACTCTAAGCCCTTAAAAGAGAATTCTATTCATTTTCCTTGCATATTCTGAAGCAGACAGGGAGCATATAATGTACCAGTTTTACAAGGGGTAAAACTTAAAGGCCAGATAAGCTGCCTAATGACAATGAGTCAGCAGTAGAAAACTGGCCTATGGCACAACTAGTTTATATTATGCTTTGCAGATATTGGTTTTTTTTTTTTTTTTTTTTGAGACAGTCTCGCTCTGTCACCCAGGCTGGAGGGCAGTGTGGCACAATCTTGACTCACTGCAAGCTCCGCCTCCTGGGTTCACACCATTCTCCTGCCTCAGCCTCCCGAGTAGCTGGGACTATAGGCGCACACCACCATGCCCAGCTAATTTTTTGTATTTTTACTACAGACGGGGTTTCACTGTGTTAACCAGGATGGTCTAGATCTCCTGACCTTGTGCTCCACCCTCCTGGGCCTCCCAAAGTGCTGAGATTACAGGCCAGATATTGTATTTTTTACAAACTGAAGGTTTGGCAATCTTATGTCAAGCAAGTCTATCAGCACAATTTTTCCAACTAAATGTGGTCACTTTTTGTCTGTGTCACATTTTGGTAACATTCCTAATATTTCAAACTTTTTCAAGATTATTATATCTGTTATGTGATCTGTGATCAGCGATCTTTGATGTTACTACTATAACTATTTTGGGGTGTCACAAACACACCCATATAAGATGGTAAACTGAACCAATAAATGTGTGTGTTCTGACTGCTCCACCAACCAGCTCTTCCCCCATCTCTCTCCCTCACCCTAGGCCTCCCTGTTCCCTGAGATACAACAATATTGAAATTAGGCCAATCAATAACCCTACAATGAACTCTAAGTGTTCAAGTGAAAGGAAGAGTCACAGATGTCTCACTTTAAATCAAAAGCTAGAAATGATTAAGCTAAATGAGGAAGGCATGTCCAAAGCTGAGACAGGCTGAAAGGTAGGCCTCTCATACCAGTTAGCCAAGTTGTCAATGCAAAGGAAAGTTTTTGAAGGAAATTAAAAGTGGTACCCCAGTGAACACACAAATGATAAGCAAAACACAGTCTTACTGCTGATATGGAGAACGTTTTAGTGTTCTGGATAGAAGAGCAGGTCAGTCACAACATTCCCTTAAGGCAAAACCTAATCCAGACTAAGGCTCTAATGCTCTTTAATTCTAAGACTGAGAGAGGTGAGGAAGTTGGAGAAAAAGAGTTTGGAGTTAGCAGAGATTGGATCATGAGGTTTAAGGAAAGAAGCCATCTCTATAACATAAAAGTACAAAGTGAAGTAGCAAATGCTGATGTAGAAGCTGCAGCAAGGTATCCAGAAGACCTAGCTAAGATCCCTGATGAGGGCAGCTATACTGACAAGAGATTTTCAATGTAGATGAAATACCCTTCCATTGAAAGATGCCGTCTAGGACTTTCATAGCTAGAGAGAAATCCATGCCAAGTTTCAAAGGACAGTCTGACTATTGGTAAGGGCTAATGTAGCTGGTGACTTTAAGTTGAAGCCAGGGCTCATTTACCATTCCAATAATCTTAGGGCCCTTAAGAATTATGCTAAGCCTACTCTGCCTGTGTTCTATCAACAGAATAACGAAGCCTGGATGAAAAGACATATGTTGACAGCACGTCCATTTAAAGAACGGTTAACTGAATATTATGAGCCCACTGTTGAGAACTGCTGCTCAGAAAAAAAGGATTCCTTCCAAAATATTACTGCACACTAACTATGCACCTAGTCATGTGAGAGCTCTGATTGAGATGTACAAAAAGATTCATGTTGCTTTCATGACTGCTAACACAGCATTCATTCTGTAGCCCATGGATCAAGGAAAAACTTCAACTTTCAAGTCTTGTTAAGAAATACATTTCATAAGGCTATAGCTGCCACAGATAGTGATTCCTCTGATGGATCTGGGCAAAGTAAATTGAAAACCTTCTGAAAATGGTTCACCATTTTAGATACCAACTAAGAACGTTTGTGATTCATGGGAGAAAGTCAAAATATCAACATGAACAAAACTCTGAGAGAAGGTGATTCCAACCCTCATGGATGACTTTGAGGAGTTCAAGACTTCAGTGTAGTAAGTCACTGCAAATGTGGTAGAAATTACAAGAGAACTAGAATTGGAAGTGGGGCCTGAAGATGTGACTGAATTGCTTACAATCTCATGATAAAACTTGGATGGATGAGGAGTTGCTTTCTACGGATGAACCAAAATAAAAAGTGTTTTGTTGAAATAGAATCTACTCCTGGTGAAGATGCTGTGAAATGAACATTGTTGAAATGACAACAAAGGATTTAGAATATGACACAAACTTATTTGATAAAGCAGCAGCAAGGTTTAAGAGGACTCCAATTTTGAAAGAAGTTCTACTGTGGGCAAAATGCTGTCAAACAGCATCACATACTACAGAGAAATCTTTCATGAAAGAAGAGTCAAACTTCATTGCGATCTTATTTTAGGAAATTGCCACAGCCACCCCAACCTTCAGCAACCACCACTCTGATCAATCAGCAGCCACCAACACTGAGGCAATACCTTTCACCAGGAAAATACTGCAACTTGCCAAAGGGTTGGATGATCGTGAGCATTTTTTAGCAATCTAGTATTTTAATTAAGATACATAGTTTTTTTTTTTAGACATACTGCTGTTGCACACTTCTTAGACTACAGTGTAATGTAAAAGTAACTTTTACATGCACTGGGAAACAAAAAAATTGTGTGGCTTACTTTATTGCTTTATTCACTTTATTGCAGTGGTCTGGAACTGAACCTGTGATATCTCTGAGGTATGCCAGTAGCTTAAAAGATCTATCTTCTCTCTTGAAAACATGAAATAAGTGACTTGGTTTTAAGAGAAAAAGAGCATTCTCTACTAATGAAGGTGCCAAAGAGGGGAGATAATCTTTTGTTCTGAATATATTTAGTAAGGAAAAGCAGCTGACCAGGTCTCCTCAAATAACCTACAAGACAGACTAGACTGAAGAAAGAAAGAAAATCTCAATAACTTTAGAAATAGGCAATTTTAAAGAATGCCTACCTCCTTCCTGCCTAGTGCAGGCAAGTCTTTCATTTACAAATACAATGCTATGGCCTAAAGTAGAATCTGTATTTATGAAGATGAAGACGCCTCCAAATAAAGGAAGATCCAAAAGAAATGAAGCTGGGAAGGGATCACATACGTGACTTCATTCCAACATACTGTCAAATGTACTCACAACTGAAGTGGATAGATTGCTAACCCTTTTTCACTTTTTGCTACCAGACTTTCCCCTCTCTCAAAGATAAATTCTCTTACACTTTAAACAAAAAGTGTCAAGAGATTATACTTCAGGTAAGTTAATTTGCAGACCATCAGGGTTGGAAAAATGATAAAGCATACCTTATTCTCGGGGTCTAATCAAATCTCAATCCTGACTGTGCATCAATATTATGTGTTGAGTTTTTTCTCAAAAAAAAAAAAAAAAAAAAAGGCCAGACATGGTGGCTCACGCCTGTAATTCCAGCACTTTGGGAGGCTGAGGCAGGTGGATCACCTGAGGTCAGAAGTTCAAGACCAGCCTGGCCAACATGGTGAAACTCCATCTCTACTAAAAATACAAAACTAGCCAGGTGTGGTGGTGAGCGCCTATAATCTCGGCTACTCGGGAGGCTGAGGCAGGAGAATCTCTTGAACCTGGGAGGCAGAGATTGCAGTGGGCCGAGATTGTGCTATTGCACTCCAGCCTGGGCAAGAAGAGCGAAACTCTGTCTCAAAAAAAAAAAAAAAAAAAAGAGAGAGAGAGAGAGAGATGGCAGCAATTCATCCTAGATATGCTAAGTATTAGTATCTCCAAGGAAGGAGTCCAAAAACTTTTGATTCTGTTTTATTTTGGAACTAACACAGGTTATTCTACTGCACAGTCAAGGCTGAATATCACCATCCTAAGCTGCAGGCAGAGATCTACATGAGCAATCTCTTATTAATGATGATGATGATGATGATGATCCAAAACCTCTTGTATTCACTCAGGCAAAGCTCAACAATCAGATGACCATGTTTACCCAAGCAGGCAGGAATCAGGTGTAACTAACACCTTCTGCAGCTCTCATGAGGACACGCATAGTTTTGTGTAGAAAATAGATTTTCCCTTTTCTTACCTATGACACCAAAGGGTTTCGTGTCCTGGGTAGGAATCAATAAGATCAGTGCTGAATTCAACTTCTTCTTCTAGAAGATGGTGAAGATTAATCCTTGGTTCCTCTGTTGAAACTGCTGCTTCTTCATCTTTTGGAAGAACTAGCGCTGGCTCACTTCTCAAAGGATTTTGCTCCATCACAGAACTGTCTATCACAGTTTGGCTAATCAAAGACTTTAGCAAAAACTGGCGGTAGTGAAATCCACTGTGGTCTGAAACGTGCATAGATGCCCAATGTTTAGTGGAAGACAGTTCATCAAGAAGAATCTTGTAAGAAGAAAAAAGGGAAGTAAGAAGAAGAGTTCCCAAAGGTTCTTCTTTCTCCATTATTGCCTCTGATTTCTCTTTGATTTGTTCCTTTTTTGACAAGACCATTCTTACCAATATTTTGTACACTATGTCCAGCACAGTGCTCTCACTTAGTGGAAGCTTAATACATGCAAATTTTCTCTTCCCCATATAAAAGTGATAGATTTTTTAAGAACTCATTTGTCCTCCTTCCCTTAGACCTTGACTACTCACATTCTGATTGATACACACAGAGAAGGAAAGATAAATTCTAAAATAATGATGAGCATTAGGGTATTCATTTACAAGTACTGCTGACGTAAAAGGAAAAATATAAACTCAGATTACTTTCATATAAACTTTATTTTACATTTAATAAATGTGTATAATATCTAACTTATTACGTCTTCAACAATAGGCTCAGTGAAATTATTTGTTCTTCAGTATAAGTGCCATGAGGGCAGAGACCATGTTTGTCTTGTTCACTACTTAATTATAAGGGATTAGTAGAAAAACATGATGCACTAATAATAAGATTGTTTCAAGAGCTCGTGACTTTAACTATTTGTCTCAAACTTATTTAACAATAATAAATGGGTTTTAAAAGAAATGAAATAAAATTCAGCAGTAAATTGTTTAAATCTTTGTGATACCAATATCTTGCAAACTGAAGAATTTCAAATGAAATGCTTTTTTAAAAAGCAGCACTTATGCAAAAATAAGTTATTTGAGAGTGTCTTGGACAGGTAGCAAACATAAATCAGTGAAAGGTATATCAAGTGCCTACCACGTTCCATCAGAGGATTTTCAGACCAGCTAAGGAAAAAAGATACACATTTGTGAACAGTTAACAATATAGACAGCATAATGCTGAATGCCACCTTTACCTGTCTGTCAAAGGTCCCAGACAAATGCCTTCTCCTGTACCATGATCTTTTTTCCATTTCTTACACCATTTTTCTTCCCCGGGAATCTTTCCTTTTCCTGAACGCCCACAGTACTTATGTATTGCATCATATTTATTAAAGAATTTCAGTGCATCTCTTCATTCCCATTAAACTCAGTGAGTGAGGGCTTTAAGATATTTATTCATTCCTATTTGATACTTCAATCCTCCTATACCTACTGACATCAGAGTGGATACATAAATATTTTATGAAATGAATGAATGAACAATTTAATAAATAAGGCGAATAGTATAAAGGAGTAAGATTACTTCCAGCCAAGACAGTCAAGTTGTATCAGTGATATGTTTTAAACATCTCCTTTAAGTTCCAATGAGTTTATTCACAGCCACTTAAATTTATTACAGAGGTTAGAGCTGGCAAGTCTCTGAGAAATGGAAAACAGTATCTTTATTTGATTTTAAAAGGCGAGCAAAAAATAGCACCAGATAAACTCCTACCTGAAATAAAAACTAATCTTACGTTTATTACATTTTTGAAAAATAAACCTGTAGAACATTCTGGCTATAATACAGCAGCTTTTTTATTTTGGCATGGCTTCTTAGTATGGATTGAAAAGAGTACTCTACTTATTTAAAGTGAACTTATATAATATGAAAAACATTTAGATTATTTCTAACTGGATATTTCTATGTATAAAATTGCAGTTTATTATTTAATTTTGAGGCAAAAATGGCACATAAATAAAAGATGTTCTGGCTGGGTGCGGTGGCTCATGCCTGTAATCCAAGCACTCTGGGAGGCTGGCGGATCACCTGAGGTCAGGAGTTGGAGACCAGCCTGGCCAACATGGTGAAACCCTGTCTCTACTAAAAATACAAAACTTATCAGGGCGCAGTGGTGCATGCCTGTAGTCCCTGTTACTTGGGAGGCTGAGGCAGGAGAATAACTCGAACCTGGGAGGCAGAGGTTGCAGTGAGCCAAGATTGCTCGACTGTACTCCAGCCTGGGTGACAAAACGAGACTCCATCTCAAAAAGGAAAAAAAATACATATATTTTCAACAAAATCACTTTCTTAAAAAAATTATTAGGCTTTTAAAGAGAAAATCCACTATATTCTTTTCCCTAAGATATAAAGATGCATATTAAATGAAAGAAGAAACTTTAACTGGAATTTCAGGGCATTTTCTTGTTAGAATATAAAGATATAAAGATATAGGGAATGATTTTTTTTAAAAAGACAGCAATTACTTTTAAGTGATCTAATTAACTTTTAAGTGATCTAAAGATACTATATAAAGATACGGCTTTAATGTACGGTACTGATGGGATAAATGACCTTTATGTGATATACCTTAAATATCTTCCTTTTCCTATTTCCATATGAAAACATGAGTAAGTGAGTAAATAAACTACAAGAAAACTGCAGATGCAGGGCTATGAAAAAGAGGGATAACGTGTTAAAAATGAAAGACTACTAAAAATACATATGCTGTAGGTCCTGTAAACTTTTAAAAATAACATTTGGGCTTTCTTCTGATTATAAAAGTGATAAAAAATGATCAATACAGAAAATTCCAATAATACGGAAAAATATAAAAAAGCAAACAAAAATCCATTATTTTGTTGGCCAGAGATCACTACTTGTAACATTCTGGCATAAAACAAATCTTTCAGGTTTTTTTCTATGTATGCACATGCACAGAGTTTATTTTTAACAAAAATCTGGGATATTCTTTTGTACTAATTTTATTCCACTTCAATTATAAATATATTCCTATGGCATTAAATATTATTTTATAATTTTTAACTCGTAAAATATTTCACCCTCAGGATTATCAGAATTTAACCATTCCCCTGTTTGTTTCTACTCTTGTATAAGTAACACTCATATATAAATCTATGTACATATCTAATTATTTAGGAGAAATTTCTAGAAATATACTTGCTGGAACAAAGAAAAAAACTTTATAAGGTTCTTAGCACATACTGTCAAAGTGCCCTGCAGAAAGGCCATATAATTTATACTCCTATTGGAAGTACATGTTAATGCTTATTTCCTAAATTCATCATCAATACTTTAATCTTCACTAATTTAATAAGAATCACGTTTCATTTTAATTTACATTTCCTTAATTATCATTAAGGCTAAATATCTTTTCTTGTATGATTACTTTTCCTTTGTTTCTTCATTTATGAACTACCTATTTTGCCTAATTCCCTACTTTTATGAATTGTCTAATTTACTATTTGTGATAGTCATTATTTTTCTTATGAGTTTGTAAGAGGTCTTTACATATTAAAGATACTAAGTCTCTATTTGTCATATGTGTTGTAAATATTATTTCAGTATATTACTGCAACTGATTTTTAAAATTCTTTTCTTTTTTTTAAAGATTTGGAGTCAAGTAAAATTCTTTTTTTTCTTTTCTCCCTCAGGTCTATTGAAGTGTAAATGACAAATTAAAATTGTGTGTGTGTGTGTGTATATATGTATATGTGTGTGTATATATGTATATATGTGTGTATGTCACATATATACACACACATATACATACATATATATACACACACACACATATATATGATGTACGGCATATTGTTTTTATGTATACACTGTGAAATGATTACCACAATCAAGTGAATTAACATATCCATCACCTAACATAGGTTATTTTATTTTTGTGATAAGAACATTTAAGATAACGCTCTGAGAAATCTTTAGGTATACATTATTAACAGTAATTACCATGTTCTACCATTAGACCTCCAGAACTTACTCATCCTAACTGAAACTTTGTACCCTTTAACCAGTAACTCCCTATTCCCTACCATAACCCTACTCCTGCAATCACCATTCTACTCTCTACTTCCATGAGTTCAACTTGTTTAGAGTCCACCTATGAGTGACACCATGCAATATTCATCCTTCTGCGCTTGGCTTATTTCACTTAGCATAATGTGAGTCTCTTTTTTCTTCATATAGGTTTTTATTCCATTTAAAGTTCAATTTGGTATTTTAGATTAAAAAAAAAAAAACCTAACTTTCTATTTTCTAAAAAGTCAACCAATTTTACCAGCATCACAAATTGAACAAGGAATCCTTTCTCTAATTATGTGAAATGCCATATTCATCATTAATGAATATGTACATATTATGTATTGGAATTTGTTTCTGGGCTTTATATTCTGTTCCATTACTGAGTCTATTTTTGAAATAGCATCACAATTTTAATTATTCTGTCTTATTAAACATTTAAGGATCTAATGGTAGAGTGTTCCTTATCGTTTTTCCTAACAATTTCTCAGGTATTCTTTAAGCTTTATTCTCTCTAATGTACTCTAGAATCATTTCTGAAGTAAAAAAAAAATCAGTGTTTTTTAATATATTCACAGAATTGTGCAATCATTGCTGTTACCTAATTTCAAACGTTTTCACCACCCCACAAAACCCTGTTCCTATTAGAAGTTATACCCCATTCCCTCCTCCCCAGCCTCTGGTACCCACTAATCTGTTTTGCCTATTCTGAACATGTTATATAAATGAAATCATACAATATGTGGCCTTGAATCTGACTGCTTTCAATCAGCATGTTTTCAAGGTTCATCCACATTACAGCATGTATCAATAGTTCCTTCCTTTTTTATGGCCAACATTCCATTGCATGGATATTCCACATTTTGTTTTCCATTCCTCAGGTGAGGTGTTACTTTTTGGCTATTATAAATAATGTGGCTATTAATGCTCTCATACAAGATTTGGTATGGAATGTGTTTTCACCTCTCTTGGGTATATACCTAGGAGTAGAATTACAGTGTCATATATGGTAATGCATGTTTTTCTCCAAGAATATGATATATATTAACTGTAGTTTTATTAATATATAGTAATTCTATGTTTAATTATTTGAGGAAATGCCAAACTGCTTTCCACAGTGGCTATACCATTTTACATTCTTACCAGCCATAAAGAAGGGTTTCAGTTTCTCCACATCCTAACCAACATTTATTATTGTCCATATTTTGGTGTGAAGTGGTATCTCACTCCCTGTGGTTTTGATTTGCATTTCCCTAATAGTAAAGATGTTGAATATCTTTTCCTGTCCTTATTGGTGACGTGGGTATGTTTTTTTTGGAGAAATGACTATATGTGCTTTTTTAATGTGAAGCCCTATATTAACTTGTAATTTGCCAGCAGTAATAAACTACCTGACTATGAGTCTTTCCTGCCACACTACCCTCAAACATAAATATTTTAAAATTTACTTAAATGTCTATTTAAGCATGCAGACATCAGAGAGAACATAAAATAGAAAATTAGTGTCATAATTCCACCCCATACTACTTTTAATCAATCTTTATTCTTTAACTTTTTTCTGACTAGAAAATGTTTTTATAAAAAATAGAAGAAAAAAATCTATAATATTGCTGTGTGTATGTATAAATATCTGTTGAGCATTTACCATGTGCCAAGCACTGTTCCAAACACTTTAAAGTATTTGTAGTCTCATTCAATGCTAATAAATACATTAAAAATTGTATTAGGCTACTGGGTGCGGTGGCTCATGCCTGTAATTCCAGCACTTTGGGAGGCAGAGGCAGGTGGATTGCTTGAAGTTAGGAGTTCAAGACCAGCCTGACCCACATGGCAAAACCCCATCTCTGCTAAAAATAAAAAAATTAGCCGGGCGTGGTGGTGGGTGCCTGTAATCCCAACTACTTGGGAGGCTGAGGCAGGAGAAGTGCTTCAACCTGGGAGGTGGAGGCTGCAGTGAGCTGAGACTGTGCCACTGCCCTCCAGCCTGGGCGACAGAGCAAGACCCTGTCTCAAAAATAAATAAATAAATAATAATATTAGGCCTACCCTAATATAATCTATTGTGAATATTTTCCTTTAAATCATCTTCTAAAATATAATTTTTAGTCATAACAAAATATTCCAAAGTGATGGACTGTAATGTAACAACTCCCTCATTATTGAAGGGCTACAGATTTTCTAGTTTTTCACTACTATAAATGCTACTTTTATACATCAAACTTCTATATTTAATAGCCAGTGTTTATTGAGCACTTAGTTAAGGCACTTTGATAGCCACTTTATATGAATCCTCCAATTCAATTTGCATCACTCAGTGAGATGGGAATTATCGTCACCCTCTTTTTCCGGATGAGAAAACTGAAGGTATAAGAGGCTAAGCAACTTCCTCAAGGCTGCACAGCAAATTGGTGGTAAAGCCAGAATGCAAAGCAGGTCTGCATGACCACTGAGTGAAGCCTCTAATCATTCTACCATACTTCATTTTCCATTATTTCTTTATGATGAATTCTTGGAAGCAGAACTCTAAAAATAACACCCTATTTTAAAAAGTGTGATAAGTGCTGCCATGTTGCCCTTCAGTAAGATTATAACAATTTGAATAATGCTTATTTTCATACTCTTACTAATACTCGAGGCCAGCACTTTAAAAAGTCATTTTCAATTTTTTAAGTTAAAAAATGCCCGCTCATTTCATATATATTTTTAAGCTGATCTAGACTACTGGTATTTTTGTGATTACCTCCTGTAATAGACAAAGCATAGCAGTAAATGTTCTAGGTGGGCCCAATGGCTTGTAACAACAGAAAGGGGATTTGGTAAATTTAGGACTCCTTACTGATAACAAGAGCAAGAGATGTTGCAGTGGCAAGTGGGGAATGGAAGAATGGTAAGTCCTCCTCCAAGGGCAGGTCAAGGAAGGGTGATGACATCTGAGCCCAAGAGTGGACCCTGGCAGCTGAGCTCACCATTAATGAGTTATCCTTACCACCAGATAGTCTCAAGTAACCAAGAATTTCACTTTGGCCCCTTGTTCCTGATTTTATGGAAATGCCACTTGAAAAGGTTCACATCACGGCAGAAAAATTTCCAAAGACTTATCAGTCAACCTGTGCCTTCCTTTTTATCTCCAAGCCTCCTCATATCTCTTTCCTCTTCCCACACACCATCAAGTCATAGATCTGAGATGACCACCAAGCACTCCATATCCCTGACTACCCACCAAACAACTTGTAATCACGCCTCCCGACTCAATATATCTTCCTTCCCCCGGCAGCTATTTCCAACAAGCCCATCCTAGATGAAGAACCATTTTTCTGTGCTCCCATTGTATTCTGATGCTTTGTAATTGCTGGTCTACTTTCTCCACTAGATTTTCAATTTGTTGAGAGCAAACACTTTTGTCTTACTGCCATACCCAGTATACAGGACAGTTGGTGGGTATGATGGGTTTTATACTTTTTCATGAATAAACTGCACTGAGTTGATCAAGCAAACTGGCAGCCAATTTTCTATCTCTAGAGGAACAGAGAAAGGAACTAAAATTGAGTGAACCTCTATTAGATGCCCAGTAATTTACATCCATTAACTCAATTAACTCTCACAATAATACACTGAGGCAGACAGTAGAGTCCCTATCTTATCTTATAAATGAAAACAATAAAACCTTGCTTTCCACATATAGCTAGTGGGGCCAAAATCTGAACCTAGGTTGATGTGATTTGAAGCCTTTGCTCTTTCTATTCCATTAGGTGGCCACCCCTCCTGAAACTCAAAGCCACATAAACTGGAAGTGGAAGGCTTCTCTTCCAGAATTATTGGCTTAAAATCCTCTGGAAGTAAAAAGTCTCCTATTTGTCCTCGCCAGGAAACAAAGAGGGAAATGGGAGCATGGGAAGAGGGATGTAGGAAGAAGAGGGTGGTAAGTTAAAATTATGTAACACTTCCCCACTTATCTGAAAGCACCAGCTGGGGCACTTCGATCTTCAACTTGACCTCTTTTAACTGTCTCAAGCCTGAGAAGCTTTTTAGATGAGCACCCTAGATTCTTATGGCACTGTGACACCATCAGAAAAGAAAAACCTGAGACACTGTAGTATATTAAGAAGGAGCAAAAGGGACACCTGGCTCTCATTCTGATGAATAATAAGTGGTACAACTGTAGCTAAGTCTAAGCCATTAAAATTCTCTGGAAATCTCCATCTCCTCATTTCTAAACTGAAAGGATTAGGCTGTGAGAGGTTGCAAACTGGCTCTGCATTCAAATAACCCTGAGTCAGTGGAAAATACTGATCTCTAGATCGACCCTCATTCTGTCTTAGTAGGCTTGGAGTGGGACTTAGGAATCCCCAGGTAATTTATAGGCTCAGCCAATTTTAAAAACACCTGGGTGAGATCGTCTATTCCCTGCCCTCCTCTCCCTCTTTTCAGAGGACGAAAGTGTGAAAAGACAGCCAGCTGACTTAGTATATTGTCACATAACCAAACACTACCAAGAAATAGCAATTCCAGTTCTATAAGGCTTAATAATCTCTTCCTGTTTCAGGATAAATTGAGTTATGCTCAATCTTCCTCAATTGGTTAAACCTGCCTTTGCTTTACCACTGCACTAGCCTTAAGACTGCCAAAAACAGCACTGGTGGGGAATGCATTTAATTACAGGGTTTCTCCAGAGGTAGCAGCTGTCACGATTCTCTCAAGTTGCCAGACCATCAGTTTCTCTACTCCTTCAAAGCTCTTCTGAGGATGAACTACTACCAGAAGATTTTAAGGGCAGACAGGCAGTCTGCCCAGGAGACAATAATATCCCTACCTTGACATCTAGCTTGGCCAAGTGCTGTAAAACCCAGATGCGATGGGACCAAGCATTATAGTTGCTTGGGTATCTCCCTGCTGCTTCACCACAGACCTCCATCTCTTCTTGTATGAGTCGCTGTGCCCTTTCTGTGGGAATTGTTCCCAAGTTTCCTTTGGTCATAAAGGAAGGCAAGGAGGTTTCCTGAATTAGCTGTTGTAGCACCCATCGCCTGTTAAGGTAGCATGTGGGAAAGAGAACACAGAAAGAACATAAACCAGAGAGAAAAAGAACCAGTTTTCATTGTCCCTAATTTAATTTTCATTCAGAGACAATGCAAAATAATACCTGTTTATAAGTCCAGATTTTTGGAGATGGGGAGTGGTTGTTTTGTTTACGATGATATTAAATTTAGCAGTATGGATGAAGGGTGGAAAATGGATAAACAGGAAAATAAAAAAAAACTTTAAAATCTGTAATACAGAGAATGCCATTACTTCTAAAATGACAATCCCAAAACTCCACTTGGCCAGGACAGGTAAAGGCAATTGGTGTGTGTGTGTGGTGGTGGTGGTAAGAGGTTATAAATTAATGGCTGATAAATACTACAAGGAGTCATGATTCACATCTTTAATTATATATGCATGCCTCACCCTATGTGCACTTGTTTGCAAACAAGAAGTTGCATTCTGATAGCTTTCATTCAGCAAAATTCTGTATTTATAGCATAAAATCTGGAAAGTAACAAATACAATTCATTAAACCATTAAGGAGGTGTCAAAATATCCTTAACCACAAATTCTCCCTTTGTCTAGTTAAGATTTGCATTAGCATGTATTTACATAAAAAACACTAAATAGTGTTTCAAGCTACTTAATGGGTTTCGTTTGTACCAATAATTTACTCATACAAAAGCATTTTTTAGACTAAAGATTTCAAACCCAAAGGTACAGGAAACTGAGTAAGAAAACTCATTTTGTCATTTTAAAATAATGGAATTTCTTATTTAACAAAATATTGCTTGATAAAAAAATTAGACAAGCCAATAAACTGATGGATGCATATTTGACAGTTCCTTTCCCCTGCCACCATCCCTGCCACCATCCCTTTCCAAACCCCCATACACACAGTCATACACCTTTCTGTGGTATACTACCTCAATTTCTAGTCATGAAGAAAATACAACTGACTATGTGGTTTGGAAGAAGCTGACCTGCAATGTTAACTAAAGGCATGATTACCACTAAGACACCTTGCACTGACATAAGATCCTAAAAATGCCCAGGATTTAAGAAAAATTAGAGTGGCTTAATAAACTGAGAATTTCAGAGTAACTTCTTTATTGGTCCTGACCAGCAAGCCCACACCATCCCACTTTGATCAAATAAGAGTAGTTACACAGGATTCATCAGGAAGATGCTTCCAGGTGGCCAGGATTTTGAGAGACCTAAATTGCATTCTGGTTATCTGTCCCAGGCTTTTAACCTAAAAATGTTCTTTGCATGTATGGTTTTTAGCAACTTTAGCTCAGCGTACACAGCATTCACCTCAGTTGCCCTTAGCTTTCTCTGTAAGTTAATTTTAATAACCGCAACCATCACCACCACCATCTTTACCAGGAAAATAACCAAATGCTTTTAAAATCCATGTTGCTCATTACAGTTGAGTATCTATAAATGCAATCTCCACAACTGCTTCAAAGAGTTAATAATAGCTAATATTTATTATTTAATATGTGCCAGGCACTGTGGGAGTGTTACATGCATTAACTCATGTAAACTTGACTGTTAACTATATGAGACAGGTGTAACTATTATTCTCATTTTACACACGAGAAAACTGAGGCTTGGTGAGTTAAGTAATTTCCCATGAACACTTAGGTAGCAAGTTATATAGCGCCTAGATTTAAACTTAGGTAACCTGACTTCAGAATTCATGCTCTGGAACCAATATGTAACCTTGCCTCTCACATGTCATGTTTCTTTCTCCAGCCATTCTGAATCCTAAGTAAGAGTACTATCTTGTAAGTTAACCACACCTGTGAATCCAAGTTTCTGGACTCTTTGGAAACTTAGTTAAGGCGAGTTTTCCCAGATGTAAATCCTTAATTGGATTTAAAGTGCCAGAGAGGATTAGCTCTTTCCTGTTAAAAAAAAAAAAAAAAAAAATTAAACATTACTTTTTTCTTATAGCCAAAGGTTCTACATGGCTTTTAATATAGCCTCATTGTGAAGTGAATGTCTAAGAATTTTAAAACAAAAAAAGAAAGAAAAAAAGCCCAAGCCACTCTAGGATACAAAACACTCATAAATGTGACATGCAGTAATCAGGAATGTATTCTCATAATCCCAATATAACAAATCAATAAGCAGAAAGAGAAGGTCTTAAATCAACAGGTGAAATGTTAGCTATTTGTGTGAGGGCAAAGGGGTTTTCTGGCCTATCTCATTTCCGAAAGTTATGAGACCTGATAGTTGTATCTACAGGGCCAATCCAATACCAATCAAGAATTGGTCTAGTTTCCTAAATAGGACTTGACATCATCTATTTCATTACAAAACCACACATACAACAAACACAATATGGTTGGGGAATCACTATTCTAACCAAATTACCATTTTTTATTTTTGAATTTTCCCTATCACACATACATTTTAACATATAATTGTATATCCTGCTCTCATTATATCTTAAGAATTTTCCCATGATTCTATATAATTTTTGTAATGAACATTTTAAATGATCAAATAGTTTTCATTCAGTAGCTATGCTTTTCCCTTATTGTTAGACATTCAGGTTGCTTCAAACTTTTTGTTATTTTAAAACAAATCGGGGGGGTGGGGGGGAAAAGCTTTGTGCTTATGACTTCTTTCTTTTGTATTCTTACTTTGGATAAGTTTCCAAAAGAGCTAATAACAAGGTAAAATACTTACATGGCCCTTGATATACTAGGCCATTCCTTTTAAAAATATTAATATAAGTAGAAGTAAAAGCAATGTAATGTTTTGGTTGTTTTTAAAACTGTTCAAGCCCAACCAAAGCTTCAATGCAATTAGTTGTCCCTTGGTATCTTGTTGAGGCTTAGTTCCAGGACCTCCCACGGATACCAAAATCTGCGAATGCTCAAGTCCTTGATGTAAAATGTGTTGCTATATAACCTACATACATCCTCCCATATACTTCATATCATCTCTAGGTTATTTATAATACCTAACACAATGTAAATGCTATATAAATAGTTCTTATATTGTTCAGGGACTAATGACAGAAAAACAAAGTCTGAATATGTTCACTACAGAAAGCAATAGTTTTCCCAAATATTTTCTATCTGCAGTTGGTTGAATCCATGGATGCAGAACCTACGGATACAGAGGACCAACTATATAAAGAATGTCATACAAGAGCTTTCCATACCTGTTTCTCAGGTAAATACAATTTACGTTTAATTTTTCAGGTAAGTTTTTGATAAGTGCTGACATTACACTCTCACTGAATTCTCAATGTATCTACAATTTTATAATAAAATCAGGTCATTTGTTATTATTTATTAATCTTAAAATGTCCTTCCTGTGGTAGGGCTGATAATTCGTTTATTTTAGAGAAGTTTAAGCCAGAGAAAACCAGAATCCAGCTCTTACACCATATCTACTTAGATGGATTTAATTTCTAAATACCACAATACACTTTCTTTCCAACAGTGACATACTATTTATAAAGTTTTATTTCATAAAGAAAACAACTATTTTCCTTCAATGTTCAGGAAACCAATTTGTCATTATGTATATAAAATATATATATATAAAATACAATTTTTTTCTTGGAACAGCCAATTGCTTTTGCAGTCTTGGATTCTTTTCCTTCTGAAATCAGTAACATTTTGTTCATACAGTAAGTCAGGATATCTATAAAGTAAAAGGAGGAAAATATTGCTCTATGTAATTTTAACCACTTTTGAGAGCAATGTTTCTCAAAGTGAACCCTGACTGCAACATCAGCATCATCTGGAACTTACGTGAAATGTAGAACTCAGGCCTCAGCCCAGACCCCACTGAGTCAGAAACTCAGGTGGGCACAGCAATACACGTTTTAAAACAAGCTCTTTAGATGATGCCCATTGACTGGGCATGGTGGCTCATGCTTGTAATCCCAGCACTTTGGGAGGCCGAGGCGGGTGGATCACGAGGTCAAGAGATTGAGGCCATTCTGGCCAACATGGTGAAACCTTGTCTCTACTAAAAATAAAAAAATTAGCTGGGCATGGTGGCGCGCACCTATAGTCCCAACTACTTGGGAGGCTGAGGCAGGAGAATCACTCGAACCCAGGAGGAAGAGGTTGCAGTGAGCCGAGATCGTGACACTGCACTCCAGCCTGGCGATAGAGTGCCACTCCATCTCAAAAAAAAAAAGATGCCCATTAAAGTTTAAAAAACAACTACTATAATGAATTGATTGTATTAGGCTTAATTTCCATTTGCTAAATTTAAGACCTCTTATTATTTATAACTGTCCACCTTTATTCCCATATATATCCATATATAAAGGGAGATAATCAAAATTTTCTTCAAAAAAGAGGCACTTACCCTATAACTGAGTTTTGACAAAGTTTCTTAACTTATGGGCACTCCCTTGGGCGACCACTGAGGTACAGAATTTAAAAAAAAGAAAAAGAAAAAAAATATGGGCACTCTGGTAATATCTTTATTTTGAATTAACCAGCATTTTTGGGAAGACATCTTAGCTTGAAACAACCTCAATCAATGTTAATATATGGACACTGAAAAAGATCACCTGATGGCATCAAGCAAAATTTTTGTATCAATGTAATAAACATTGCTAGGGGTAGTACTGAACATTTGTAGGTGGTGGATATTGATGAAACAAGTTTTTCAAAAACAATTTAATTGTTTTTGCCTGGAGCATCTTATAGAGCCAGAAAGTAAGGAAGTGCTCAAAAATATATGGTGGGATATGAAAAAGGGACATGGGGAGCAACCGAAAGAGCTTCCAGTGGCCACAGCTGGAATGATTTCAGCAACAAAATCAATAACATAGTATTGGATTATACCCCAGAGTATCAAATGGCTATCCATCAGCCCACTGAAATGAATGAATATATAAATAGGAGACAATAGACAAATATGATAGGTGGTAAAGTTAATAGCAATCACATAAGCGTTTTTTATCTATAAAAAAATTTTCCCTAATACCTCAATTTTTTTTTTTTTTTTTGAGACGGAGTCTTGCTCTGTTGCCAGGCTGGAGTGCAGTGGCACGATCTCGGCTCACTGCAACTTCTGCCTCCTGGGTTCAAGCGATTCCCCTTCCTCAGCCTCCCAAGTGGCTGGGACTACACGTGAGCGCTGCCACACATGGCTAATTTTTTGTATTTTAATAGAGATGGGGTTTCCCCATGTTGGCCAGGATGGTCTTGATCTCCTGACCTCGTGATCTGCCCGCCTCAGCCTCCCAAAGTGCTGGGATTACAGGTGTGAGCCACCATGCCTGGCCAAATACCTCAATTTTACAGACGAGGAAACTGAACCCTGGAGAAGTTCAGTAACTTGCTCAGGTTTCTTAGCTCAAAATGTCAGAACCAAACATCAAATCTGCATTAAATAAAGTTACCAATTTAAACCAATAGGCTATGAGTACAGAACATGAATCACTGGAGTTTGGCATCAACTATTCTAGTTGCTCAAAGGTGTTTTGCTTATTCTAAGTACAGAGACTGATGAAGAAAATAGGACATTATTACTAAGTCAACCTTTTTCATCAGGTAAATCACCAATTTTCAAAGCAAAAAAAAAAGTAGCAGTCTTCTTTCTTTAAAAAAAAAACCAGCTAAAATTTTAAATTATGTGTATCACTCACTGTAATCACAGGAGGTTAGTTCAGAAACTTATTTTTGCCTCTATTTCCTTCCCCTGAGATTGCAATATCCACAAATTGAACTAGACGTCTATTGCATTATCCTTTAGCAGTTTGAAAAATGCAGTCAAAAATCACTCAATGCCTTCCAGGATTAATATAGAAGAGATCCACTAACAATTAAAAATAAAGTTCTGTGTATTTGATACACAATAGAGACCGTACAGGGTTAGAGAAGTTTACTATGAAGTTAGCAGTTTGTTGCTCAAAATGTACCTATGATTCGATGTCTTTATATGTCAATCAATCTTACTAATACATATTAAAATTTACTAGAAATATCCACAAAGGATTTTTAAAAAATCAAGATTCCCTTTCTACTCATCTAGCACAAAACCTTACTAATCATCTAACTAGAGTAATTTTCAGGATGAACCATCATAAACAGCCCTCAAGTTAGATTTATGGAGCAACTTCCCTTCATAAGAACAAACCACACATATTTTTTTTTAAGTTTAATAGAATCATAAAAAAATTCACCTAATTCAAATCTTTTATTTCACAGATAAAAAAACAAAACTCTTGAGAATCAAAAGTTATACTCAAAGTCAGCTGCTAGTTAACTGATGAAACAGGACTAAGTTCCATGAATCTTAAGACCAGGTTTTTTCCTCCTGTGCTCAACTGGTTTATAGGATATACAATGAATAACATGTGTGTATACACATAGGTATACAGGTCTGTGTGTGTGTGTGTATGTACCTATCAATGCATATATGCTATGCTAGTGAGAATTTTTTTGTTGAAGGAGTTTTGAATTCCTCTCTATGGGTGAGGAATATAAGAACATGAATAAAAATGGCATTCCTACTTTCCTATTACTCTGATTTCTTTTTCACTGAATTTGATTTCTGTGCCCAATTTGCAAACTGCATATCTATTATGTACAGGCACTAGAGTTAGATGCTAAGGAAACAAAGGGGGAAAAAAAAAAAGACATGGTCCCTACCCTTAAAAAAGCTCTGAATTTTAAGTTCATGGTACCTTCCTAAAAGTCTCCTTTGCTGATTCTTCCTCATCTTGCAAATGCTAGAACGGTGCTGTCCAATAAAAATATAATGTGAGTCACAAATGCGAGTCATATATGATTTAAAATGTTCTAACAGCTATATTAAACACAAGTATAAATATATTTAATTCAATATATCCAAAATATTATAATTTCAACAAGTAATCAATATAAAAATTATTAATGAGATATTTCCATTTTTTGCTAGTCTTCAAAACATGATGCGCAGTTTATCACTTGTGGCACATCTCAGTTGAGACTAATCACATTTCAAGGGCTCAATAGCCACATATGGCTTTGTGGCTACTGTCCTGGATTGTGCAACCCTAGAAAACTAGAATGTCTCAGGGCTCAGTCTTTGAACTGGTTCTTGTCTCTAGCTATGCCCACTCTTTTAGTGATCTTAAAACAGTTTCATGGCTTTAAAACCATCTATATGTTAGTAACTGCCAAGTTTACATCTGGCCCAGACCTTTTTCCTGAACTTTAAATTAATATACAACTACTTGGACACAAATCTAACATGTCCCAATCTGAACTCTTGACCTATAACAAGCACCCCCTACCTAAATCTGCTTCTCTTCCAGACATTGCCATTTCAGTAAATGGCAATTCCATCCTTTCAGCTACTCAGGGAAAAAGCCACAGTCAAGCATGACTCCCTTCTTTCTCATCCCATACACTTTCCACTACACTGCAGTGCTTCTCAAATACCAGTGATATAATGTTATATGCCTCACAAGCCAACCAGTTATGCCGACTGCCCATTACTCGCCCACCCCAAAAAATGAAGGAAAAATAAAAGCATGTATCAAACAGTATACTGTAACTCAACATGACAATTTATATTTCAGGCAAGAAAGTTTATGAAGACATCACTACGCAAAAAGGGGCAAAATGCATATTTAGAATTGTCACAGATATAAAGAATAGGTAGAAGAAATAAGTGTAAGATGGTTTATATTTCGTTTTCAAAAGCTAACAACTTATGGGGCTAATATGTCTTCAGAAATTTGGACAAACTTTATCATATCACTAATGAAAATAACATACCTCACGTTCCATGCAGTGGTAAAGTCTGGGTTTAGAAGCAGCAGGGTACATGTGACATCTATCAATTCTAAAATAAAGAGAAGTCATATTAAAAACAAATAGTCCTACCTTTGAAAGCTTGGTTTCTCATTCTTTAAAGTTCTCTTTCTCTCTATCACATTATACTAATATATATCTCATGTCATACTAACTTTAATAATAAATACGCTCTTCTAAGCTGTCAGGGATATGAAGATTACCCTCAAGACCCTCTCCTACTTTTGGTAAGTGTAACTTTCTTAAAAGCTGACACAAACAATTTTACAATATGCCTATAAGGAATAATCTAATTAACCCCTTCCTTTTTTTGGTGCTTTTTGGTACTAATTTAATATTTACCAAGGAAAGAAACAAAATTTCTATGCCACTATTCCTTTAACATCACAAATATCTCAAGTATTGACGGTGTGCGTGAATTTTCAAAAGGAAAAAAAAATCACTCAGAATCCAACCCACTTAACATAATTCATTTACAATCTCCTGCAAAAATTATCCTTTCTTGCACGTATTTTTACATAGGTATAGCAACGACAAATGTACAACTTTGTTCCATATATTTCACTATTATTTCATATGTATCCTCCTATATTACTACAGTATGTATTTTTAACAGTTGCGTAACAATCTCTTAGTCCTATGTACTATCAATTACCTTACTCTTTAGGCTGTTTCCTGTTTGTTTCTAATGTTATAAATAATACTACTATAAACATTTTTAAACAAACTTTTTGTCTTGCAGGCTATTTTCTTGGGATATATTTCCTGAAGCAGAACTACTATGTCAAAACAACATAAAACTCAGTATGACTCCTACTAAGCATTTCCAGATTGTCTTTAAAATGGACTGTATCTATTTATACTGCCAAAAGGAACATGAGTGTACTTATGTCCCTATGACTGACCTATATATATTTTTAAAAAAGAATGTGACAGATAAAAAATTACAAATTCATTTATTTTAATTTACATTTGCTAATAGGAACATTTTCATTGTTTATTACATATAGTTCATCTTATGAACTGGCTATTCACATTCATTAGCTATTTATTTACCATGGTTTGACAGAATTCCTATATATTCAAATAAGCACCATAAGCCTGTATTTGAAAGAACAAAATTAGCAAAGTTTAGACATATTGTCTTTGTCTTACTAAAACTGAAAAGAATTCTAGGATTAAGGTTATCTATCTAGGGGCACAGTACTAAATTAAGGCAACCCTATCAAGCTCTTATTAAATGCCATGTAATAAAATAATAAAAATAATTATTACCATTTACTTAGCATTACTGTGTATGAGGCATCGTAGTAAGCACTTCATTTTATATTATTTCACTAAATCCTCATAATCACAATCCAAAATATTCTTATCCCACTTTACAGATAGGGAAACTGAAATTCTGCAATTTAAGCAATTTGCCCGTAGTCACCCAATTAGCATGTGGCAAAGTCAACATCAAAATTGTTTCCAACAAGTTAATTATGCTGCAAACAAAATGTCTGCCCATAATAATTGGGACATTTTCAGTGTTTAAGTAAAATATAAACTTTTTACTATCTAAGAGCAAATACACATAAACACATCCAATAGTCATTTTAAAATACTCTAGTTAACAATAAAATCAATTATTTTATTCTATCTTAATAGGAGATTAACATTTACTTGGGGCCCATGATTTCATTCCTAGTGAGCATACTGAAATATTCAATTCCAACTAGCAACAAACAGTAGGATCAGCACACATTTATTTTGACCTCTAAGTCATTACATACATTACAACACGTTATGCCTATGAAGAATAATTAACCTCTTCATTTTTTTACTTTTAGTAGTTTTTGGCACTAAATGTTTATCAAGAAAAAGAAATACAATATTCTATGTCACTATTCAGTTTAAATCCATAAATATTCCAAGTATTGACTATGGACAAAGATTAAAGTAGGCCCTTAGGACTGAGTGCTTGAATGTAATGATAAATAAGACCTAATTTTGCCTCTAGGTTATCCTCAAGTTGGAGAGACTATATAAACAAATAATTATATAAGGCAAAATAATTATGAAGTAGAAACATAAACCACATTTTGGGGCCCACCAAAAAAGCTGCAATTAATTCTTAGTGGAATTATACATGGAAGACTAAATAAATAAAGTGGTCACGGCACCACCTTACCATACTGGAAAAAGTATGAGCAAAGATAAAAATGCATGGAACTTCACACATAGTTTGCTCTCCAAGAGATTATGGATACCAGAGCATGACTACAACACAAGGTAGTGGTAAAATGTACCAGGAAATGAAGCCTTCTGAAACCTGGTCTCAATCTCCTGATCAGCTTGGCCTTCCATTACTTTCCCTCACAGGTTACATTCCACCTGAGTCAAACCCCACTATCCTATAAACACACCTCCTACCCGCCTACCTTCTTTTCTCTGAACAGAATTCAGATTTACCTGCTTGCTATTCTTTCTGCCTCATGTCTTCCCATCTCCTAATATTTAACAAAAAAAATGTTTAAAGCCTTTCCTAACCTACCTAGTTGGAAAAAATCTTTCATCTCTTTTTTTTTTTTTTTCCTTAGAGATGGAGGCTCACTTTGTAGCACAAGTTGGAGTGCAGTGGGACAATCTCGGCTCACTGCAACCTCTGCCTCCCACGCTCAAGCGATTCTCATGCCTCAGCCTCCCCAGTAGCTGGGACTACAGGCGCGTGCTACCACGTCCAGATAATTTTTTGTATTTTAGTAAAGACAGGGTTTCACCATGTTGCCCAGGGTGGTCTTGAACTCCTGAGCTCAGGTGATCTGCCTGCGTCAGTCTCCCAAAGTGCTGGCATTACAGGTGTGAGCCACTGCGCCTGGCCTCATCTCTGTTTTGTGTGTATCTTACTTTTGTTACTTACATAAATATTGTCCTCTTAATTGGACCATAAATTTTTTGCAGGCAGGTCCTCTCTAATACATCTTCAAATTATTCATTCACTCAACAAATTTTGTAAGCATCTACAATAAGCCAGGTATTGAGCTGGCTGAAGATGAGTAAGCACAGTCCCTGGTCAAAAGCAGCTCCATGTCTGACCACAGCACAAAGGAGTGGTAAGAGGATAAGCCTTCCTTAAAGCCATACTACCTGGGTTTGAATCCCAGCTTCTCCACTTACTACCTACATAACCTAACCTCTTGGAACCTCAGTGAAACAAGGATGGTAACATCAGCCTCATGGTGTTGAGAGCAATGAAATTCATTCCACTTCTCCACAGCTTTTTGACACATAGTATTCAACAAATATTGTTCACTTAAACGCCATCACTAACTGACCAAGAAATGAGTATTTTCAAAATAAGTAAGGAAGTCTGGAATAATGAGGAGGTTGTTCCCTTAGTAAAACCGTCTAAATTTCCCAACTTGTAAAATAGGCAGCAATAACCAAAAAACCCTTCATAGTCAAGTAGTTACATGGAAAGGTTTGTAAATGATGGGAAAGCCTCTGGAATTTCTTTTGACATCTACAATTTTCTAAAAAGTGATTATTCTACCTAGGTAAATTGGCATAGTCCCTTGGAATCTCCCTTTTTACATTAAAGAAAATATGTCTGAGCAATGGTAGTTGCTGTTTGTTTGTACTTCTAACACAATTCCCCTCCTCCCTCCATCATAAGACAAGAAGTTCATCCTCCATGAGAGACTTCTGTACAGCAGCACAAGGCAAAAACTGACACAGCAAGTACTTAAGTCCCCGCTTTTCATTTTATGGTTATGTGAAGATACAGGAAGACTCATCAAAGTAACATTTCCTCTACTGGCAGGTCCCTCCCTAATAGAACAACAGCAGCTACCGGGTTCAGACACAGCCCAGCTCCATTACTTACTGGGAATTCTTGGGCAAATCACTTAATCTCTCTAGGCCTTACTGTCCTTCTCATATGTAAGATGGAGCTATCATGGGGATATTAGATGACTAAACCCTTGAAGTGTTAGTACAGTCTCTGACATACAGTAAGGACTGAATGGTAATTCCTGTTACAAAGCCTGTATTTCCTAGTCCAGTTCCACAAATGATATTGGGACTGGATGCCTCCAGAGGGAGCAAAAGAACCTCCTAAGCTGGATAAGCAGTGACTGCTGAGCAGAGGGATACTTTTTGACTTTTAAGAGTCTTGGAATTTAAAACATCAACAGCCTTGATCACCATCAGTGGTACCTAGTAACATATACAACCACAAGCCGTTCTCTTCTCCTCTTTCACAAACTGCTAAAACTTCCTCATTCAGGACTTAGGTTCAGACAAGACTTCCTTCAGTAAAGATTCTAGTCTGATATAAAAGATAGGGGTAAAGTGCAATGACAGAAATGAGAAAGGACTAGGAGAAGTAACTAGATTAGAAGTATCAGACATAATTAAAGAATGAGATCCTCACAACAACCCTCTGAGGTCTTGATTAGTATTTCCTTCTTTTGGTGTGCAAATAGGAAGAAAGAGGTTAAGTAATTTGCTAAGTCATTGTTAAGTGACTTCAGTGTGCTGACGAGTTCAATTTAAATCCAGGTCTGCTGTCCTGCAAAGCAGATGCTCTTTCACTCTACCACACTACAGGCAATTACTTTGCCTTCTGCAGGTCAGGACTGAAACAAAGACCTGAAAAAGAACATGTATAATCAACGGTTGTAACTATTTCACTCTCTCAATTTCATCAACAATATACCATTTCCTCTGCAGTTTCACCAAAAAGATATGAGCTATTGAAATCTCGAAAGTCTCTTGAAATTAAACAGGTCTCTCTCCAAACACTAGAACATATACCAGCAAATAAATGTTTCTTTGTTACACACACTACAATATATGCCTAACCCATCGTCATGTCACAGGGAGAAAAAGAATCGGGGCACATTATACATAGAAAAGTAGCTAAATTTCAGCTATAACAGGGAGAAGATAAAAGGATACTACAGAAGTTGGAGAAAAATCAATATGCTTTTCTTGCTGCACTGCATTCTAGAAATGGCCCAAGGCCAGTAGTCACCTGGTAATGGTCACTGGATTTGACAACTGTCTCTAACAGAGAAAGGTTTTCGTGCATCTAGAAATAAATTCAAGACCAACTTGAATCAGTAATTTTTTTCCTCCAAAATACATTCAGGTTATCACAAGAAGTGAAGCTTGAGGTAAAGCTATATGGTAAACACCAGAGAGGCCTTGTTTATTATAGCACACAGTCACGGAATCAATAGCTAGATTAAGCTAAAACCTCTTGCTTACAAACTCTTATTACTCATTTGACAAATGTCTGTTGAACACGTAAAGGTTCTGAGTAAACAAAAATGATCCACAATCCCTTTTCCTATAAACTCACATTCCAGCCAGGAAAAAGGCTGTTTAAATAATCAGCTAAAATACAGTGTGACAAGTGATACTATTATGCAAGCCATCTGAATAAAGGGCTCCCATAAGAGAGCAGAGAATAATTTTTGCTTCCTGAAGCAGTCAAAAAGGCTTCACAGTGTTAAGTGTGTGCATGTGCATGCACGTGCATGTGCTGGCAACCACACTGATAATGCCAACATTTAGACATGAGCCTGGCCTCAGCAAAGGCATGGAAGTAAGGCAGTAGTACACACAGAGTCAAAGAATGGAAGAATGTTACTTGTGGCTGCAATGAACATGTGTATCAAATAGCTGCTAACATAAATGCTTCTGGGGTTCAAACGAATGTCAAAATAGCACCAAAGGAAATTTGACAAGAAGTGTCAACTAACACTCTGCCATGGTGTCTCAAGAGCTTGAAAAGGCTGTGATAAACTGGAACAGACGTGCCCAGTTAAGAAGAGGCTATATGTCCCAGCCAATTGTTGCCAGGTAGAAAGTAGTATACTCAACCAAGCCTTATGATTTTTCAAATGAAGACAGAAATCAGATTTATCCAACTAATAAAAAGTAATTTTTAAGACATTATACAAGCCACACCAAAATGTATTAGCTTCAGCCTATGTGCTGAGAATCTGCAACCTCTGATGCTGAATATAAACTGGAGGAAAGACTGGGGACAGACTGTGAAGGGCCTTGAATACCATGCTAAGGAGTTTCAACTCTACATTGATCCTGTGTGTATCATGAAATAAGATGAGCATATAATGTATTCCAGAAAAGCGTCGGTCAAACTGTTTTTAAGAAACGCTGTTCAAGCGTGTCTGAAATGACTGGCTACTGGCATGATGGACATGGGTCACAAAAGAGCCTGGAAATTGGGTAGACCGGTTATGAGGTAATAAAATTTGTCTGGATGAGAAATAACGAAGGCCTGGTCAGCCAAAGAAATGGAGCGCAAAAGATAGCTTTTAAAGAGAGAGCTCAGATACAGACTAAGTGAGGGCTGTGGAAAAGAGAGAGGAGCAAGAAAAGATGGCAGGAGGCACATCTGAAGAGTTGCACCAGAGAGCTCTGTCCAGAAAGAACTCCAATGCTGTGGTCTTCCCTCCTGCTTCTTATTTCTGTTATGGATTTCTCAAACATCAGATTTACAGAATCAGTCCTCTCCCAAACTGAATGTGGGTATTACTATCGCAGACTTAAAAAACAAACAAACAAAAGTCAATCTCTAACTAACTAAACAGGGATAATTCCTAAACATCTAAGGAATTCAGCAGATTAATGAAAACAAGAATTCAGTTTGGTTAGGAAGAAAAAAGTCTATCCCAGGAGTAAAGGTCACCTTCATTTACAGAATACATTTTTAGGTAGATGCCTAGGATTCTGGCATGATTGATCACACAGACAGACATTCAGAAACTGTTACTGAAATTGTCAGCTTTCTTCACTTGGGCCTTCTTATATGTATATTCTCTATAACAGTTTTAAAGGTGTAGCATTTTAATGAAATAATTGGTTTTTCCTAACATTTTTGACATGTTTTTCTTAGCAAGATTCACCTCTGTGCTCTAATTACTTCAGTTCATAAGTTTGGCAGAATACTCTTTTATTTTCAGCATTTTCAGATATATTTTTCTGTCAAACCCAAAATTCACTTCCTTATATTTACTGATAATACAATATATAACCTGAGTAGTATGTGATACCATACTATCCACCCCCCTCAAAATAGTGAAATCCAAAACTGCTTCCATGAGGACATAGGCTAGGATCAAATCAAAAGCTGCTTTCGTACACATGCACAGTTTTATCTGAATTCAAAGTTTAGATGCCAGCTATTTGTGTGAGTAAGCTTAACCATTTGATCTTCTGCAAGGTTCCTCTTGAGCCTATTAAAACTACGTGGTAAGAAGACACAGCAAAGCCTGCAATACAGCATCCAGAAAGACAAAAACAAGAGAAATGAAGAGGACTTGGAAGACCACAGAAAGAGGGTAGGTTGAGATAGCATACAAAAATGGGCAACTATAGCCTCTCACTTTTTAAAATTCAGTTTCTTTTCTATAAGATAATCATTCCATCCCCCAACTAAAGTTAGTTATACATTGGTTCGATTACACATTTCTGTGCACCAGAACAGAAACAATACGGCTTTGTTTGACAAAAAATAACTTGATGGCACCATATGGTGTCACTTTTTACCTCAGTGTCATTAAAAACTACAGCACGGTGATGGAATGCAGAATTAAAGAGGGTCTAACAACAGATAAACTTGCTTACCTTTAAGTTTATCCCTAAACCCACGCCTTAAAAGTTTATGCCATAAATTTGGGCCATGACTAAACTTAGGCATGGCCTTCTAATAAGAAAATATATAACAAAGGATTGAGTGAAACAGTCACACAGAAAATAGAAACCACTGCTCATTAAACCTTCAGAGTCTTTTTCTATGGTCTAAAAAGGGAAAAGTGTTATTAACCAATTAATGACAGTATGTTACAGATAGTGTGAGAGAAATTCAAGGAAATCAGTATGTCATACAATAGGCAACACTCTTCTCTACATCTCTCACCCCCAAAGAGATTGTTTGTCACTCAACTGTAAGCTTCTTGAATAAAGCGACCATGTATTTATTCATCTTTTTATCCCCCACAGTACTCAGGACACCATCTGGTATAAGTAGACCCTTGGTAATGGCTACCAAACTGGCAACTAAAATTCTCAAGGAAACAAAGTTCTTATCCAAAATCAGCCTCCAGGCATACTGAGCGCTTTTGAAGGTACTGTCGTACGAGGGAAGGGGAAGAAGCTTTACAAAAACAGTAAAGGATGTGGTGTTAAATGAGTCTTCTCCCAAAAAGTGAGACCTGAGGTGGGCATACAACGATAAACAGAATTTGTACACATGGAGGCTTAATATGGCAGAACACCAAGAGAAGAGACCAGATGGAATGATTAGGGATTGTCTGATGCAGTAAAAAAAAAAAACTGTCTGAGAGAAATGGAAGAAGCAAATGCTGGATAGTTTTGTTTTGCTCATTTCAGCACAAGAACAGTACACAAAGGGCCAGAGCTCAGTTGGAATTTGCAGCGGAATGGCGCATCCATAAATCACTGGGCTGGTTCACAATATCACTACCACCATCATGCCTACATTATCTCATTTGGACTGCTATGGAAATGAGTTTTGCTGCCTATAAAATACTAAAGGTTTAGAAACCAGAGACTGAGCCTATAGGGACTAGAGTCTTCTTCAGTGACATTCAGATTATTTTCCTTCAAATTAAATCTTACAAATGACCCCAATAAATAAACAGATAAAATCTGAACTGTTCTTGTTACAGGAGGTGCCCTGAAATTCTGCTTGAGGGCTTCCATATAATCACTGTGGTTGTAAAATTTGTACAGGTGAGTCCAAACTACTCACTTGACAGAAAGGTTAGCACCCACCGAGACAGTGAACAGAAGAGCCAGAACTAGAATCCAGGAATGCCAACCTGGATTGGCATTGATCAGACAAGGGCTCTTCCTAGTGTATTCCGTGTCACTTTTAAAAACTAAAAGAAGAAAATATGATTCATACTTACCGTCTCTGTTCAGCCATTGCTTTCTTGTTCTGTACAAAAGGAGCTTGTTGTGGACATACGGTAAAAGGAACTTGACACACCAGCTCTCCACACCCAGTTTGTTTTCAACCAGGACTATGGGACTCCGGTTATACCTAGCTTCAGGACATGGGATCAGGCCAATTTCATCTCTTAATATGTAAAACATAAAAAAGAATTAAAAATAAGAATACTAACCTTTTCAACATTTTTCTAATTTCAGAGTATTTTAAAAACCCCACATATTTCCCCCTTCCTTAAAAATATTATTTAGCTCACTTACTGGGATTGGTAGATGTTAATAGTGGCAAGGGTATGGGAAAACGAGTATGCTGTACTCTCTGTAGACAGGAGTGAAAACTGGTCTTGCCTTTGGATGGTAACTTAAAAAAAAAAGTCTTTCAAAATTCTGAATGAACATACCTTTGATCCAGCAATTCAACTGCTCAGAAATTATCCCATACCAAAATATATGAATCAGATGTTCACTGCAATGTTGCAACAAAACTAGAAACAATCTAAATGTTTATCAATACAAGACTAGTAAAATAAATATGGCCCATCCACATAATCAAGCCATTAAAAAACAATAAGGTAGATCTGCATATGCTGATATTAAAAAAGTTGCCAAGATATATTAAAAGAAAAACAAAAAAGCAAAATGCTGAACACAGTGTACAGCACAAATTCTTTTATATAATTTCTTTAGAAGATATATAAATGTATTAAAAATTTTCTTGGAAGGATAACAAGACATTTTTGGAGAGAGAAAGGTGTTAAGGAAGGATTTTATTTTTATACAGTTTCAATTATCTAATAACTTGTATGTATTTCTATTTTTTTAATGTTAACAAATGTGTTTATGCTTGCTTGCTAATAAATGCATACGGACCAGAAACAAAGAATCAAAAAAAGTTATTTTATCAGTGAGATTTTGGGCCATTTTTTATTTTGAATTAAAAAATCACCCAAATGTTAAAACACAAAATACATTTCAGAATTCAATCATTTTCATCTGTGGTAGCATCTATATCCCTCAATCCACCTCAACTTAAGCTGAAAATCTGCATTAAAGGCAGAGATTTAATAAACATCATGTGGGGCATTTGACTTACTTAGTAAATGAACCGGCAAACATAAAAAATGTGTGCAAAACACACTCACATGCCTTTCAACTCTAAAGGAAGTTATAATTCTTGCCTACACAAAGGATCCTTTCTCAATCAGAATGTCCTCTGTTTAATTAATGAATAACGAGAAACTTTTTAACAATAACAGTAGTTGAAATAAATGTTTTTACAGTGTCTATATAGATATTTTAAACATGTCTTTAAAAAGCAGAATAATGAACTGGTTTTCGGAATTTGTGTGTGATATTATGTATTATGTCCCTGGCATCCCCTTACCAAAACCACAGTGGTTTGATAGACCTAAAAAGAGGGAAACTGGTTCAACTACAAAGTAGGAGAAACACCCTGTCTTTTTGTTCGGCCACTATCACAAATTGGTAGGAGGCTGTGGATTTAAAATCAAACCCCTCCTGGAAACTAAACTGGATAGCTTAGAGGTAATCTACTTTCTACTGATCACTTCATTAGTGACACAGGGATTTATCAATAAAAAGGGTATGTTAGGGGTTGCAAGACACTAACAATTCTTTCAAGCTAATTTAACTCTCAAGAAGGCTGTGCGATCTATGGGTTTTTATCCTTACAATTGGCTCAGTTGACTCAAAAGTGTTTTGATATACTATATCAATACTATCATAAGTTTTCTGATTAACTACAATGTACTGGGTACTTTGTTAGGTTTTAAAATTCAAAAAGAATAAAGCAAAGTGGTCTTAGACTTCAAAGAGCTAAAGTCTTGTTGGGGAGCTGTGTCAATATCCATAATAAAATGTTACCACTTTACCACTCCAATAATATAAACAAAGTCCTATAGGAAGAATATGGACAAAGCTGAAAGAGTACCTGAGGTCAATGCCCAGTATTTCAAAATATATTTTTGCATCTCTATTTGGTGGTATCCTGAAATCTATCTAATTCATTATTATGACCCCTAGCCATATCTGGCTATATTTGACTAATATATGACTGAATCTCTGGTATTTTCTGATGTTTGTGTTTTACTACATGAAGAATATTAAAAAATAAAGTAAAAATAAATAAGTAAATAAGTAAACTCAATGTGATTATTTCAGGAAATTCTGTTCTCTGAGATATAATAATCTACTTACAACACTTCAAAGAACTGCAAGATTCAACAATATAAATGTTATAGTAACAAGAATAAAAGAATCCTGTTTCCAGGTATGGTTTGTTTTTGGGGGGGATTTTTTTTTAACTTAAATTCACAATATAAAAACCTATCTTGCTCACTAATTAAACTAGGATTAAAATGCCCAAGTAACAATTTGGTATCTAAACTACAGAAAAGAGCCATCTGGCACAATTAAAAAACACACTGCTTTGACTGGCTGTTCTTTCAAGAAATACTTTATAAAATATGAATGGCTTGGATATAGCAGGTACCCAATAACTGCTTCCTGAAAAGCTGATTATTCTTGTACTTTAGTGATAATATTCAAATTAATAGTTTTCACTTCTTGACCCTCTAAAAAAACATTATCTCTGATTTTCTTCTAATAAAGTATACTGAAAACAGCATGTGTCCAAGTCCTGGATGGAAATAGGTATATATACACATACACACATATACATACATATCAATATCATGTCATTTTGGCTTCTATAGACTTCAGTTTCCTCATCTGTAAAATGGTAGAATTGTATTATATCTCCAGTAAGGGAAATGGGCTAGATTTCACCCAGCTTTCAAATTTTATGACTGAGAAACCTAGCAGCTATTTTCATGTAAGGAGAATAAAAACAGTCTTAACAGATAATGTAGAGCACTAGGGGGAAAACACATGAAAAGAGGTAGTACGGTGTAAAGACAAATGTACTTGATTGGAAGTCCAGAGTTCTAGTTAGTTTCCATTCTATCTACTGACAAGCAATGAGAATTTGGCAAGTCACTTGCCATCAGTATCCTCATCTGAAATACAGGAATAGTATGTTCCCTGCCTGTTATGGAAACCAAATAATGTCACGTGAAGAAAGTGGCAAACTACAAAGTGCTAGGCAAAGATGAAATACAGTACCATTAATCCATTTAAGAGCCTTTAGTCCACCAGTAGAGTGTGTTGGTTAATAGATAATGGAAAGCCGAGGCAAAGAATTTAAGCCTTTGTCAAGTTATGTGACCCTAAGATACAGTGTTATGTTGCTTCCTAAAACACATTACATGTACTTTGTAAAGACAGATAGGTCAGTAAGCTTCCAAATAATAGTGTGTTTGACTTCAGACTTCTGTGTCTCATCCCATAAGTCACAGTCCACTTTTTTCTAGCCAATTTCGAATAGGATTCCTTCCAGAATCATTTTAAAGTTGGAAGGGACTGCGTTTCTCTGTCATTTAATCTGATGAGGAAACTGAGGTCCAGTGAGGTTTATGAGGATTACCTAAGGTCATATTGCTAGTGGCTAAGTTAAGAATCGGGGCCTCCTAATTCTTAGCCTAGACCCACGAAACTAGAACGAAGAGCAAAACAGGATTTAGATCAATTCCTTCTATTTTTCTGTAAATTTAAGTTCTAATTCTATACTCAAGAAACACTGGGAAAACTCAGGAAAAACAAAAACAAAAACAAAAACTAAAAGTCACTTGCAATCCCTCTTTAGCTATTAACATGTTTGAGTATATATCTTTTTTTTTTTTTTGAGACAGGATCTTGCTCTGTCATCCAGGCTGGAGTGACGTGGTGCAATCCTCACTCACTGCAGCCTCCAACTCCTGGACTCAAGAAGTTTATATATATATACATATATATGGAGAGAGAGAGAGAGAGAAAGAGAGAGAGAGAGAGAGAGGGAGAGAGAGAGAGAGATGTAGTCCCACTATGTTAACCAGGCTGGTCTCAAACTCCTGGCCTCAAGTGATCCTCCCACCTCAGCTTCCCAAAGTGTCAGGATTACAGGTGTGAGTCACTGTGCCCAGCTGGGTATACATCCTTTTTTCCTAAGTATTTTCAAAAACTGGGATTATATTGAACATATTCTGTAATCCTTTAGGGAAAAAACTGAGCAATCCACATTAAATATTTTCCCACATAATCAATTTTGATTTTTTTTTTTTTTTGAGACGGAGTCTGGCTCTGACACCCAGGCTGGAGTACAGTGGCCAGATCTCAGCTCACTGCAAGCTCTGTCTCCCAGGTTTATGCCATTCTCCTGCCTCAGCCTCCCGAGTAGCTGGGACTACAGGCGCCCGCCACCTCGCCCGGCTAGTTTTTTTTTTGTATTTTTAGTAGAGACGGGGTTTCACCGTGTTAGCCAGGATGGTCTCAATCTCCTGACCTCGTGATCCGCCCGTCTCGGTCTCCCAAAGTGCTGGGATTACAGGCTTGAGAATTTTGATATTTTTAATGGTTGCAATGAATGTGCTATAAATATCAAACATATCTCTAGTTATTTCTTTACAAAATAGTCTTATGAGAGCAATGTTTGCACTCTTTCACTACCAATAAATTTCACTCTTTTACATTGTGAGGTTTCTGGCCATTTATATTCCTAGTATTTAACAAGGTATTCGATTACCTGCATAACTAAGAAGATCGTAAGATTTTTAAAGATATAATGGTTTGGGACGGCAATCAAGTTCTAATGGTACTCACTTTTCAGGTTACCTTCATCACAGGCTGCTCCAAAGGCAGAGCAATGTGGAATAAACCAGCACATTTACTTAAGATCACACTATGATACATCTCTCTGAGTGCCTCACATCACAATGGGGATCCATTCACTGGCTTCCAGATGATGTTCACAGTTCATGTAACACTGATACTGACTTTGTTCCTCATGTTTAGATAGCTTGTCCTATCTATACTTCTCAGAAACACCACCAACTAGAATACAGCCACTTATCCACAAAAGTTGTATCAACCAGCTTACCTTCTGGGAGAGATGGATGGTACCCAAATACTAAAACTGAATCCTATAATGTGGAGCAACCAAACAGAAAACAGTCCAAGGATTCAGGAAATGGTAAAAACATTTTAAATCTAAACAGTAGTTATTTTGGTTTTGTTCTGCTCCCACGCCCCAAAAGAAATGGAATTCTTTCCAGCATGACCAAAAAGGAAAGCTAGTAAAACATCTAAATGAACTGACCCTTGCATATTGATAATTAAAATTCTCCTGGTGATTTAGATACTTCAGAAACCTTATAGGCTTTCTCATTAATTCCAAAGATTATCAACTTAATGTTTCACTGAAATTATATTACTGACCTTATTTAGAAAAAGCTACACAAATTACTACTGCTTATTGTTTGTTATTTGCCATGCACGGTTAGATTTTACATATACTATTTTATTCTGCACAATAATCTCATAAAGTAGGAATTCTGATCCCATTTTACAGATGAAGAGTCTTGTCTGTCTACTCAGTTAATAAATGACAAGCAAAGATTCAAATCCAGTTTGACAGCTTAGACTGTCAAACTCTAAACTCAAATTTTTACACTATACTATACTATTATTTAAATAAATAAAAATCAGATACAAGAAGCCCAGTAGACTCTGGCTTTCTATTCTTCAGTTCACCTTGCAGACAATCTAAAACTGCCTTTCATTATTCCTTACTAAATAATGTTCACTGGTGCCTACCCAATGCCTTAGAAGTGTGCATCCATGAGCCAGCTTTTCTTCACCCCTCATGTCTCATTCAGTTTAAATGCTATTGCCTCAGAAAGAACTATCTTGACCTCATACTCTAAATTAGGCCTCCATGTTGTTAATCTAAGTACCCTTCTTACTTTTTCTGACTCTTTTCATAATCTGTATGTTGACTGCTTAACATCCCATTAGGACAGGGACCATGTCTGGTTTGTTCATTAAGCCACCCAGCTTTGAACTCTGTATACCCAGAGACCAGCATTGTGCCTGTCAAACAGAGGTAATCTTTTGCAGAATGTATAAATGGAATGAAAGAAATTAAATGAGAGTCAAGGATTTCCATAATCTGGCCCTACTGTACCTTCTCAGTCACAGTTTGCTTCTTTAAGTCAATTCACTGTTCCCTATGGAGGTCTCTGGCTCCCGCTGAGACTACAAATCCTACCCAGACTTTAATATTCGGCTTAAAACCCATTTCCATTTAGAGCCCTATCCCAGACATAACCAGCCTCCTCTCCACTTCTATTAGACTCCCATAGCACTTGCTCACCATGCTGCTATCCAGCTTTTATTATAAACTACTTTGGAGTGTTAATTTACTATTCATGCAGTTGGTCTTAGGTCTCACCTACACCTGCACTACACATCACAGTAGTCACTGGGCACATGGAGCCACTACGTACAAATCAATTTAAATTACATAAAATTTAAAATTTGGTTCCTGTCCATATTAGCGACATTTCAATTGCTCAATAGCTACCATGGCTAGTGGCTACCATAGGGAACAGCACAGACATAGAAAATTTCCACCATTACATAAATTTCTGTTAGTGCCTTGGGTTCAAGAACTGTATTTTAAACTTGTTTCACATAGTAAAGATGGTACCCACAACACCTCATAAACAGGGAGAGTTCAATATTTAATAGAAAAAACAGTAACTTGCTGAATAAGATAATTTTAACATGACTATTTACATTGTAAACTGTTGTCTTCTACACTAGCACAGGGTCCATACACTAAGTTAAAGACTATCCTTAAGTCAAGTTTACCGTTTTAGAGAATCCGATATGATTATCTAAGAGTCAACCATAAAAACAGCATTTATATAGTATTATCCAGTTTATAAAGTGCTTCATATTCACCAATTATTTGGCCAATATATTTTTGGTGAGGAACAGAGATTCAGGGAAGGTCTAATATTTATTGAGTGGCAACTAAGTACCACTGTGTGAGGTGATTTTCCTGTGTTCTCATCAGCCTCACAAGATCAAGAGGACACTGAGGCTGAGAAGGTACCTATTCACATCATACAGTAACAAAACCCACACCTCACCACTGCATCCTCAACTCCTTCTGGCTAAATATTTCTACATAAACAAACAGTGTATTTAATGAAGTAGATGTTGGCTAATAAAATTACAACCGACCTTAAGTTTAGAGAAGGAAACTTTTATAATACTGAAAGTGTAATTAGATACAGTAAAGTTAGATACAAATGTCACAGATAAACAATGCTTTTTTTAAAAAAAGAAAAGAAACACAGCCTCTTTATTTTGGGAGTAAATGGGCTAAATTAAGGGAAGAAAGTGCAGGCAATTTTCAAAAGCCCAAATTATAAAGCACTTAAAAAGATGCATAGTAATATTATTGAAAATAGTTTTACTGTGGGGAATATGTACTCAAATATAGCTGATGACTAGTATTAAACAGTGAGGTAAGCTATTCAAATGTTTAAGATCCATATTACAAATCATTTCATTATTCCGAATATCCAACTTATCTCAAAGTTTTAAATCTCGAATGAGCCAAACCCTTATTACTAATAAATTATACATTGAGAATATATTGATGAGGTTTCACAGTAGAAAAAGGATTAGGGAGGGGCATTAAAGTCCTTTAAGAGTTTCCGTAAATGTGATCCACAAGAACTGGGACGTGTTCCAAACTGCACTGTTAAACTGCCAAGCCAATGAACATTCAATCTTGGTTTCTTCAAATATAATGATGCTCTTTTAGTCTACCTCAAAGAAGAGAACATAAGATGATTACGATATTTTTTATTAGACTTCTAATCTCTGCTGTAATTTCTTCTAGAAAAATAATACCAGTGATGAGAAAATACACTCTTCATTTGTCCAACTTTTTTTTTTTTTTTTTTTTTTGAGGTTGTCTCTTACTTGCACTAAGGCTCCCATTCTCAAAAAGAAATCGAAAGACTGATATACAGCAAGGCATCAAAGCATTCTTTAGAAGGCTCAGCAACCACTATGGATACTGCCAGGAAATCATTCCAAACACTCTCATTTTGAAAAAGGCAGCAGTCATAAGGGGGAGGGAAGTGGATGCTGTCAGAGGTGGCAGGTGTGTTTTGAGGCCAGCAGTGTTTTGTTTTTAATGTGGCACAGTTGCACGTCTCCAATTCTGTGCCACAAGGGAGCAAACATCCGAGAGCTTCTTAACTCTTTTACAATCATCTCCTTGGAGGAAAAGAACACTTTGGTAAGATACAAGTTTGGCAACTTTTTTAGGCAGAAAAGCTGAACCTGTTAGAATACTTAAAAAAAAAAAAATTGAGTTCCAGTCTAAAGAATAAAAGTAAAAATAAACTCCAAAAACAACTAAAGTGAAAATAATGCAGAACTGAATGCCATGTTTCTTTTCTTTGAGGAGGAAGAGGTATGGGAAAGGAGGTACACTGTTGCTTCTTCCCTACACCTTTGTATAAATGGAGATCTCTCTCTCTAATAGTTTTCTTTTCACTTGTTACACAAAAGCAAAGTGTTACAAAAAGGAGACTCTTGTGGTATCTTCCAAAAGTACTTCAAGTAAAACGGAAGAGATACATGTGTCAGTTCTGCAGTGTCCCGTTAAAGAGGGCAGCAGTGCTGGGATAAAAATGAGTTAACATGCTCCTTGTAACTATGAATCCGCTTATGCTAAAAAGTATCGAGGTTTCATTTGCATTATCCCAGACTCCACACCGCGCCCACAGAAGCTTCTCTTGAGAATGCTCCGTTCACCTTCAAAACACAATGTTTTATCGGAGTCAATTTACAATTTTGTGGCAAGTAAGGCGAAAGTCAAAAGCAGCCTCAAACCACCTTTAGTTAGTAAACTGAGGGGTTTAGGGCTCATTAAGACTAAGACGATCGGTTACCCCCTTGCCAATGACCGGGATGAATCTCAAGAGTTGTGTTTACAAGGTATGCACAGATCCACATTGTTGCGTGCGCCTGTGTACCTTAAACAGAGGAAGGATGTGGACCTACGGGGGAAGTCTTTGGAGTTTCGTGAACTCCTATGAAAAGGTGGGAAGGGAGAGAGAAAGTCGTTCTGTTTCGATTTTTCGAGGTCACTTCTAGGGACTCGTCCGCCAGCGCGTCCCGGTAGCGGAAAGCCCGGCCAGCGGCGCCCGACACGGCTCTGCCTCCTCCCTAGAAGGGCGCGTGGGCCAGGACCCGTGGTCAGCCCGCCGCCCGAGGTCGGGTGGACGCTTGGCCCCGCCCCCGCCCGCTCCCGACGACCCTCGGAGGTGGCGGAGGCGCGCGACTCACATGTGCGGGTTCCTCCTGAAGGCGTTAGTGATGTCCTTCACTACCCGCTGCACCAGCACCGCCACTTCCTCGCTGGTCTCGGCCATGTTGGCGGCGGCCGCGACTGTTCGGGCGCGCCTCCGCGTGAGCCGGGCCGCCAGCAGGAGTTCCGCGGAGAGCGCGCGCGCGGGTGCGCCGGCTAGGCCGCGCCCCCGTCGCCGCAGCCGCCGCCGAGCACTTCCGGGTCAGCCTGTCGGCGGCCTGGGCGTGGCGTTAGGTAGAGCTGGTGGCCTCCCAGTGAGTGGAGGGGTTCGCCTCCGCGCGAGTAACGGACTTTCTAAGCGTCAAGAGAAGATGGTGCACGTGTGTTTGCAAAGTTCTTTCAGGCAGCCGATTTTCTTATTTTAATTTTTAGGCCACTCGGGACCGAGGAGAAAGGGAACCTCAAGACACACTCCACGAGAGTCAGACACCTGCCTGAACACCCCTGGCCAGGTCCCCGGGCACTCTTGAAGGAATGTTCAACTGAGGGTGCAGGGCCTCTTAACAGTTAGTCTAGTCCTGGGCGTTTTTCAGAGCTTGTCCGCTTTATTTTCCCAGCCAGAGAGATGAAGAGGTCCAGAGGCTTTGCGGCGGAGCGAGTCCCTATTTGACCGCATTGGTGACCTCCTTTCTAACTGTGCCAATTTTGGTCTCTGAACCTGAAAGCAGCCCTTTTTAAAAACATTAATTAAAATTCTTAGATTTATTAAAGGAAGACAAAGGAAAGTGAAGGAAAAGTTATTTGCCATCTGGATGTAGGAAGTAGAAATGAAATCGTTTTTAAATTTTTCGATTTCATTTTCTACTACATTTGGTAGCCTTTGCGTCAATTTTGGAATTTAAAAAAAAGTATCAAGACTCTGACAGGGTTTGCTCATAACAGCAAAAATAAATTTTTGTAGGAAAAACGTGCTTTCTAGTTTATTTAGGATTTTGAAATGCCATAACTAAAATTTGTGTGTATCCGGTTTTCTTTTGCTCCTCTGTGGTAGAAAAATCTGGCTGCCTTTAGTTCAGTTTTATTCTTCCACCCGTGAAATCTGCATCTTTGGCCGGGTGAGGTGGCTCACGCCTGTAATCCCAGCACTTTGGGAGGCCATGGCGGGCGGATCATGAGGTCAGGAGATCGAGACCATCCTGG